GCTTTGGGCTGAATTTTCCACGAGTCAAAACAGCCGCAAGAGAATAGTAAACGGAGAATGCCACAAACTCCTGGCGCTGTTAGTAGTCCCTTGGCCTCCTTCTAAATACCGGCCTTCTATTCTCAGGTTCATCGCGAATTCATGTAGAGGAAGTGTTGTGATCCAAAGCTCTTGTTTCTCCCACTCAGCGCGGGTTCGAAGTGTCACTACTCCATTGCTTATATTCTAATCTGGCCCTCCCAGTGGAGAAGTGATGGGATATTGAAACTTCTTGAGGTCTTGAGGACCACCTTGCTGGTTCGGGCCATCTGATGATAATTTTTTACTCATGAGGAATGCGGGTTGTTGCAATGATCGCTAGTACCGCACTCTTTCTAGTGTGCCTTAAGCTCCATACTCATAGGCAATATCCTTGCCTTTGGGGTACTACGGCGAACCACTGTGTCTGTTGCCCCTCCTTGCGGAAGCAAATGCTGAGTCGCCGAAGAGGGATCATACCCCTATCTTTAGCTATCTATCCCTCGCGTGATGAAGAAATTGGATACATGCAGGGCTCTAGCCGCGCGCACCACAGTACTATTGTACACGTTGCCGGCTGGGTAAAAGCTCCTGGTCACTGTTAAATAATAATACTATCCCAGCCGTATCTGACGGAAGGGTAGATAACCGTTCACGTGTGCAACTTCATTATCTGGTCGTGGTTGTTATTAGATGACTGTAACTGGATGTGAACACATCCAGAAGTTATGTTAAAGTAGACTCAAACCTCAAGGTGCGGGCTCGTTACGTTGGAGCATGCAGATTCAGAAGGCAGATCGCACTCGTCTTTCATGGAAATGTGAATAATCTGATGTACCTCTGTGCGCTTCTAGTAGTATCTACTTCAAGCCGAATAACTTGAATGCATAATCCGAGCCAGAGCCGTAGCAAATGCATACCCCATCGAATGACGCATGTACCTCCCACAAGCCACAAACCCATTTCGTCCGTAGAAATATTGGCAAAATGTACTTCTGTCAATGAATTGTTATATCCCTCACTAGCCTGTACATCGGAACAGTTTTCGACCCATTCGTCAAGGACCTAGTAGTAGCATCTACAGACAGTCCATTTGCCTCTCTAATCACTGTTTGGAAACAATTATAGTGGAAGCTCTGGTTGTCTGTTATCGCGTATTCGAGAGACCATGTTTGCATTCTCATACATGCTATAGCGACCTCGTTCTTGGGCCCCAATCACACGGTCGCAAGTAATTCCACGGAGAGTTACAGAGACCAAAGATAGCTCAGTTGAAATTGAGAGGAGCCTAATGAAACCCATTACCCACGAAGAGGTTCAAACATTATTTGCGGAGCCGGAGAGAACAGCGAGCAGAGGTTTGCGTGTGTGAACTGCGAGAGGTCCGGATACTTAAGAATGCAGCCGGAAGTCACCAGTCAAGTTGATGAGGTTGGAGACCTTCACGATTGTCGAAGTGTCTCAATCAAGGCTTCGTCAACAGAAACGATCACTTAAAACGTGTGAGTGGTTTACAAGCCTTCAAGGAAATTGCGCACGTACCTCTTCAACTTCGCCCGCCGATCGAGCAGGGCCTCTGCAAGGCGGCCTTCCTTCTTTGCGCGTTTCAGCTATATGGAAGTTTAAGTGACATGTTAATTGTTTTGGGACGACATGACGCACATCTTTCTTATCTTGGTTCGAAACAACACTCCGACCAGCGCCCCAGGCTTGATGTATTTTGCTGGTTCCGCCGTGAGCCCGGAATTTACACAGCCAGTTGTGGAAACACTCACTTCGCGCTTGCTTCGTTAACCGTTGTGTCCGTTACCTCGGTTCTCTTCTTCTGTTCCTCATTGGCCTCCTTTTTGTACTTGTATTGTATCTTGACCCAAAACCGTTCCCTGAAGCCGACGTCGTCGCTGTCGCCTCTGAGAGCTAGTGTCCCTCCGGCCACTTCGTCGATACTGAGGTACTTCTCGTAGATGTTCATGAAAGCCACCATTCCGTCGGGGAACACCACTGGCGTCCATTCCTCCTGTGGTCCTCGTGCATCTCTGTCGGCAGATACCAGGCCGTGTTTGTCGCACGACAGGAACTTTCCTTCCCCGGTACCTGTTCGCAGATTTATCGTTGCGGAGCCTGCAACACGAGTGGTAACCCATACTTGGGCGACATCACTTGGTGTTCGGTCCAATAATTTCGGTGGTTCTTCTTCAGGTGACGTATCCTTGTCGAGTGAATGTACGACAATTCTGTTGCTTGTAGAGTTGAAGTTGATGGATACTGGCGAGGGGTCCGAAGGATGGACTATAAACGTTGGTCCGCGTATTTGTTCTGCGCTCTCTGGAAGCACCCAAGTGTCGAGGTCCTCGTCATTGTCTGCCCTCCGCTTGCTTTTGCTGGTTCCCGCTCCTTCATCATCGTCATGGTCGCGTTTTCGTTTCTTTTTGGTCTTTTCTCCTTTAAACTTGAGTTTCGTCGAGCGGACTTTTACTTCAGACATGCCGTCAATCCTCCAGCAGAGCTGTGGGCGTCGATATACGCAATTAACAGGAGCTCGAGTGAAAACGGGGTAGCAGGAAGGGGCAAGCAAGAGGGCTTGGCGCTCTGGAGGATGGTCCCACGTGATGTGGAGGCAAGGCTCATCCGTGGGAAGCAATCCTTGTCTATCCACACAGAATTTGCCCTCTCGTCGTCGTGTAGGCCGCCCTCAAGACATTCCTCGACGAAAATGAAGATCAACGCCGGTATGTATGACTTTTATGCTGTTGGACTGGCCCATCGGATGGAAATCTCGAAGATAGTATGGAATTTGGTAGAGTGGAAGGCTGGATGGAAGGGTCGGGCGGTGGATTACCTTTGAAATGGTCTGGACTTTGGCAAAATCTGGTTATTGACGACCTCTGGTAGACGTTTCCTCCTCACGGCGCAAGTCGCGCAAGGCGCACTTCTCGGCCCCCTCCTCTATCCGCCGCAAGATTATGTCCTCTGCCCTCTCCAAAGAACTGCGAGCTAAGCACAACGTATGCGGGGTACCCTACCGACTTTGAAGATGCCAATTCTGATCAAATTTATTTGCGTAGACCCGCTCATTACCCATTCGCAAGGACGACGAAGTCCGCATCACACGCGGCAAGTACAAGGGTCGTGAAGGAAAGGTCGTCCAGGTTTACCGCAAAAAGTGGGTCATCCACGTTGAGCGTGTCCAACGGGACAAGTCGAATGGCGCAAGCGCCCCCATTGGCATTCACCCCAGCAATGTCGTCATCACCACCATCAAGCTCGACAAGGACCGGTGAATTGTGTATCGCCTTTTTTGAGTGTCATCTCTGATAACTCAACTTTTTAGACGAGCAATTTTGGACAGGAAGGACAGGAAGAAGACTGAGGGCGAACCCAGCGGAGACGTCGAGATGGTCGATGTAAGTGCTTAGTGTATATATATCGCAACCACCTTGTAACCTTTCTTCGCAGTAAATTCATTATCGCATCTTTCCTATCCTGTCGGTACATCGAGCAGCCGCACACAAAACCACTGTATGACGAACGTAGCCATATGATCTATGCCCGTTTCCCCCGCAATATGTTATTGACCGCACGCATTTTCTTCAATGTTTGGCTGGCACGCGGGAAGCACAGCTTTCGCTTACAGCTTGCTTCTTACTGGGTCATCCTGGATCCAGGTACAGCCAGTTGGTTGTTGCTTCCGTATGTAAGTTGCCGTTCTTTGAACAATTGCACTCTGTATAGATCATTGTCGACTTCTCAACACCATCAACGTTTAAGATCGTTTGGAAGATCGCAGTGATATGAAACAGGTTGAGAGGTACAGCCATTTGCAGAATTGTTATCACGATCGATGCGTTTCGCGTCCCTGAGATATGGACGCCAAGGGAAGGAGAGAACAGTTCGATTTTAAATAAGGAAACTACGGTGTAGCTCAGAAAATAACATCCTCGTCTTTGCTTCGAAGAAGATCCGTTGAGGCCTCGTCATCAAACACATCGTCAATTAGGGTTCTCTGGTGTTTCGCTTCCTTATTTGCAGCTTCCCTCGCAGCGGTGTCTCGTTTCTTTTTAGCTTGAACCTTCTTGAGCCTTGACCAATCCTTTAGTTTGGTTACCAAGGTCATAGATTGGCATACTTACCGGAAGAATTCCTCTCGATCCATCTCGTCCAGCTCGCTCATGATGTATCTAATGGTATTGTCGAGGCGGGGAATGACAACATGCTCAATAGCGTTTACTCGACGGTTCGTGGCGCGAATCACTTCGTCGAGAATAATGAATGCTGTTTGGAGCGAGGCAAGTTCCACTAGAGTCTCTAGGGCCTTGGCATAGACCTCCCTAGCTTTCAGAATCTGCTGTCCTCCTCGGCCGAGGCCAGTTAGGTTGAAGTCTGTGCATGGTTCAGCGGACGACTCTCCGATGGATGATATGATGACGATAAGCCTACCTGATCCAGAGACACGATCAACTTCGAACGCAGGTAGAACGACTCCAGAAACATTCTCCTGCTTGGTCTTCACTCTGAACGAGGCAAGCTTTGCCTGCTCCTGCACCAGGTACGAGATATCACCAGTTGCATATGTGACCTCCGCCATGGAGAATGACGCCACTTGCATAACTCGTCCCATCTTTCGCTTTGCCTAAAGACATCGCTGAATCGTTGAATACACCCTCTAGACTTCGCAATTGCGGTTAATACTGGGACCAGGAGCTCACCTCGTCTACTTTCCGAAGGATTGCTCGGAATCGGGTGGTCAGGGCATCTCGCTTCTTGGCGAGAAGGGAATGTCCGGTTTGAGCACCTTTCAGACGCAGTTTGGTGTTTGTGAGAGCCATTCGTGTCGCGAAGACATTTTCGCGGGCACCGGTACCAGACATGGTGCAGGTCAGGAACAGAGAGCAATCAAACACCAGAGGCAGCGGTTTTGGGCAATATGATTGACTGTTATGATGGCTACAAATGTGGAGCTACTGGCAAATTGGCTTACATCTGGGGGCATAGCTCAGTTGGGAGAGCAGTAGACTGAAGCAGGTTGCGTATTCTAAAGGTCCTGCGTTCGATCCGCGGTGCCCCCATTGCATTTTTTCCTGATAACGAAGACAGACGAAAAACTGAATGAGCTCTGCTTGTACTTTTCACTTTCGATTTACCGGGGTCCGGATTGAATCAGAAAAATGGTGTCTAATACTAATAGGAGCCATCTTCAATAAACCATAGCAGCGAAAACAACAAATCAATTGTGGGGGAAGCGAAGCGGTTAAGCAATAGTATATGCGCCATAATTCTTCTCTGGGTCGAACACCTGTGGAGTTGAATTTGTCTTGAGTATACACCAAGACCGCCAATGAATTCCACTAACCTCCCACCGTGACGCAGGGAATATGTGCTTATTACGGTTGTACCAGCTCCGCTCGACGACTTTGCCCGCATGGGATTCATCTTTCTCCTTTGTAGCATCCGCGAGCAAGCGAATGTCATCGTGAACGTCAAAGTTGAATAGAGGACCAGATTTCCCTCTTGCTTTGTTGACAATGAAGTCGTAAAAGGTATAGTGCTGTGGAAGCTTGTTGTGAGTCAAGGCGCACTGTATAGCTATTGAATCCTTACGTGGGGTATGATCAAGTCCTCCTACGAAGGAATGAGTGCAAGTTAATTGACGAAATAATATGTGGTCTACCTTGATGTACATCAAATTGTCGACGCTAACGCCTCTCAGCTCAGAGAACTGTTGCCGACACTTTTCAAGGAAACCGGAGACAGTGTCTCCCTTCTTGCACTAGCAAAAGGTTATTTTGCATTCCAGAACATTTGAGGAGAACCGCTTACCATGACACTCTTTCTGTGGCCACTTCCATCCCAGTATGAGTAGGTGATTTCCATTTCTTCTGATTTTAGCTGTTCTTGCTTGGACAGCCATTCAAGGCGCAACCGTTCTCGTTCTTTGCGTTCCTCCTCTTCGCGTTCCCTGTCTGGAAGGAAAGAAGTATCCACGTTTGGATTCTTGCTCAATTTCTTCCTTTTGGCAGGGAAATCGTCCAACTCGTCAGGGTTAGGTGTCGATGGACCTCCACTGCCGTTCCCATCCTCCTCACCACCTTCATCATCCATTGCAAAAGACAGGGTAGACTTTGCGACCTTTTTTCTCTTCTTGGTTTTCCTCTCGTCCCTAAACAGTACTCAACGTGCCATTAGCCGTCTGAAATGCACGAGACAGGAAAGTCCCTCACTTTAGTTCGTTGGTTCTGGCCGCTTCCCTCGCCTTGGCCTCTTCAATTTCCTTCTTCTTCTGTTGGAACTCTTCCAACCTAACGAGACCAACGGTGCTATTCTTTAAGGATTCTTCGACAGAATCGTTTTGACCGACGAAACGTTGAGCCGAGGGTCGCGCCTTCTCCGTTTGCGCCACGAGGGTCTGTGTTTGACGCTCATAATCTTCCCTCATCTGAATTCTCTGCTTAATGAGCGCATATTCCCTTCGACCGTCAGGTTTGTTATCAGCCATAGTGAGTTGTGTGGAGGAGACGATGGTTGGAGGTCAAGAGTAATTCAGGTTCCGACAACGCGGCCGCTATCAACAAAAGCGTTGGCCACGCGCTTTTTTCCGTACCTCCTCAACCTGCCTGCGTCATGGTCCATATATTGGGTATCAGCCTTCCAGACCAACATCTGGCAAAGGTAACTGGTGATAATACCTGCTTGACGCTGTTCTGACCGTGTCTTAGTTCGCCTTGACATCGATTTACGGCGTTGGTCACAAAACTGCACACCGGCTATGTGCGCGCTTCCAAATCCACGACAAGTGTAAGGTCAAGGAGTTGTCGCCATTCCAAGTAACCTCCCTGGCCTCTTTCCTGTCGTCGCCGCGGACAGCACCGCCGCTACCTCGCTACCCCCTAGCATCCAGCTCATATGTTCCACCGCCCCCGTCCACACCCATGTCGGAGCTCCAAGCCAAATTCAAGGAGGCTCAGGCAGCTATAGAAGCGAAGAAGCAAAGGAGAGCAGAGCTGGGCAAGAAGATCAAGACCGGCACATACGTCGACCCTCTCAAGAAGCTGACCATTGAGTCTGAGTTGCGCAGGGAGATTCGGGAGAACATTGCTCACCAGCGCATGATTGGAAGTTACGTCGGTAAACGTCACGCTATGCACCTCCCGGTCAGAGGTCAAAACACCCAGTCGAACGCGAGGACAGCCAAGAGGCTCAACAAGCTCGAGAGATGGTAGTTTTCGTCCAGAAGCAGTCGTCGCCGCCCTTCCGTCGCGGATTCACATTTACTATAATCAACTAATAGAACTGTTGCTATCACACGACGCACTTGAACGAAGTCAGAACCCTCCAATATTGACAGAACTGTAGTTTCTGCACCATCGACATTGACCTGAGTATGAAATCAGACACTGAGTACTAAGGACGCGACTACCCCTTGCCCAGCACCATCACTCATAGAACCCACCTCTTTATTCATAACACTCCGGGGCAGTTTTAACTCCAATGTCTAGTACAACCAAATATAAGACCGCGGGCGAAGATATGTGGAAAGCTCGCTCAGAGAAGATTGTGAGCAGCTGACCCGATCCCGAGATTCCAGTCTCTCATCCTCTCAGAATGCAGAGCTCTTCGCACTGACCTACGGCGCTCTGGTTGTGCAACTGATTCAAGACTATGAGGACTACGAAGAGGTCAACAAGCAGCTGGAGAAGATGGGCTACAATATTGGGACACGGCTAATTGAAGACTTCCTTGCCCGGTCGAATCTTGGGCGATGCTCTGATTTTCGCGAAGTAGGGGAAGTTGTCTCGAAAGTGCGTTGCTTGAGGTCGGCCTTGGGCAATGATGCATTATTTGATTGTGGCTCTACAGGTTGGCTTTAAAGCATTCCTGAATATCACCCCGAATGTCGTGCATGGTGTTCCGACCTCGCCAGCACCTAATCGGCAGAGCAACCCAACTGGTGCCCCTCAATACTTCACACTGGTCTTTGAAGAGAACCCTCTCGCAGAACTCGTGGAGCTCCCGGAAGATGCTCTAGAAGGAGGGCTTTGGTTTAGCAATGTGCTGTGCGGGGTCGTCCGAGGTGCTTTGGAAATGGTAAGCCACCCCATTCCTCGGGCTTTTACTCTTATTAACATACCCATTTCTAGGTGCAAATGCAGGTACAGGCGGAATTTATCTCGGACGTCCTAAGAGGAGACGAAACAACCGAAATCAGAGTGAAGTTGGTGAGGTTCTTGGAGGAGGAAGTTCCTGTTGGAGATGACTAGATGATACACTACACATTCGAATCAAACTGTACAGTATTTGCAAAATTCATGACTGTCCTTTGCCTGTATTTTAGTTCTTATTATTTGCAGAGAATACTATCTGGACGAATGTAAGCGTTGCCCTGTCCCTTGGTCACTACGCGTATATGTTCGATCAAATGCCTAAATTTAGATCAGGACTTTCATTTTCTTCCTCCATCCACCATGAGCAGACCAGAATTAATTGCACCTCCAGAAATTGTATGATGCCCTCAATTCTCTCAAATCAGTCCTCTGATACATCGACTTAGTACTATGGCGACATCGAAGCCAAGAAATACACGCAAAAGTGCGACTTTCCTAGCTCGCACCCACAGATCCATATTAATCATGTAGCCCCGTTGTAGCACTCGGAATCAGCAAATCCAGGCTGATATGACCTACCGAGCTCTGGAACTGCTAAACCTACCCCCAGATCAGCCTGCATTTCTTCTAGACATCGGATGCGGGTCAGGGCTGTCTGGAGAGATACTTGATGAGCAGGGATACATGTGGACAGGTGTGGATGTCGCACCGAGCATGCTGGGTACGAAATACGTTTAGTGAAACAAATTGCGGGATCCTAATATGTTTGGCTAAGAGGTTGCTCTTGAGCGAGAAGTCGAAGGAGACCTGTTTTTGCAGGATATTGGTCAAGGCTTCGGGTTCCGACCTGGAAGCTTTGACGGCGCCATCAGGTTCGTGCACTTCATTGTACTGTAAAAGATCATTATTGACGTTAGAAACATCCAGTATATCTGTTCTCCAATGGTTACTGAATGCCGAGACATCCCATCCTACATCCTCGCCACCACATCGATTGACCCGCTTTTTCACAACCCTCTTTTCCGCTCTACGAAATCCCTCCCGCGCAGTGCTCCAATTCTACCCATCGTCCGACGACCAAATACAGCTTATCACCTCGATTGCACAAAAGGCAGGGTTCGGAGGAGGCCTCGTCGTTGACTATCCCAATTCCAAAAAGGCCAAAAAAGTGTTTCTGTGCCTGTTAGTTGGCCGCACAGACAATCAGCAAGTTCCAAAAGGCCTGGAGGGTGATGAAGAAGCTACCTCCAAGGCGCAGTTTGAGCGAAGGAGGGATAGGGAGCGGAGCAGGTCAAAATCGAAGAAGAAATCCCTCAAGGACAAAGATTGGATTCTCAAAAAGAAAGAGGTTCGTTCCCCACCGTCGTCCCCTTTTATACGGGCTCATCTTGTTTCAGCTGTACCGCAAAAGAGGGAAAGAGGGAGTCCCCAAAGACTCCAAGTTCACTGGCCGCAAGAGAAGAGCAGTTTTTTGAGGGACGCCTTGTCGTGTTCTGGTATTGCACCCCAATTTATTGCATACCCGAATCTAAGTCTATTTGAAGAGGATATAGCAGGTGTCTACAGCGTTCTGCGGCTCTGTCCGAATGAAATGTCCTTGCAAAGCGGCCATGCTGACTCTCTTGCCAGCATCCCATTCGCTTTGGACCATGTCTTGCAGCTTCTGGGCTAGGCTCTCCACTTCGCTGTCAGACAGACCGGTGATTGCTTGGCCGCCTCCGTAGAATCGCTGGAACAGGGTTCGAGCTTGTTCGGGATGGGCATCGTCAATGAGTTCGCAAAAGTCAACTCTTCCGGGTCTGATCAGTGCAGGATCAAGCCTTTCGATGTGGTTGGTAGTGAGGAAAATTATTCTTTCCTCGCCGGAAGCCACACCATCCAGTGCGTTTAGGAAGCCGGAGAAGGTCACTGAAGACTGATACCTACATGCGGGGAATAAGCGACATTTTTAAAAGAAAAGTTAAAAT